TGGGGTATTTGAAAGTTTCCAGATGGAAAGACCTCCAGGTTTATAAAATTGCCCTAATGCCTTAAAATTGTTCATAATAGTAACAAGAGGAATAAGGATTCCTAGGACATCAGTGCCTCATCACTAAGTCTTCTCTTGTGAGGTCAAGTTAGAGGCAGGGACGTGGTCAGTGGGCAGGGGCTCTGAGGTGGGTGCCCAGGGAACAGCTGGGAAGGCTATTTCAAATAGAAGCATCTGCTGCAAGAGAAGGATTTTTTAACTGTAGAGGAGAGGTTTTGTGGACAAAGGAAGTAAAACCTGATCTATGGAAGAGGGCAGGAGAGCACAGAGAATGTTTGAACAAAAAGATATGATGTGCCTGCAGTATATTTAAGGCTATAGTGAAAATCTTTTGCCCAGATTTTTCTGTTCTGTATAATACCATCAGGGGATCTTCATCTGGGAAGCACAGACTGAGCCTCTGAAGAATCTTAAAAGTCTTCCTAAGTTTGCTTCTTCTGCAGTATCCCATTTATTCAGCAAGAAAACACGGACTAACTTCCCTCTTGGGAGAGTCTGTGAGAGCCATACCTGGAGCTGACTGTGCCCAGTGGCTCTGCATGGGCTGGTGGAGGGAACAAGGCTGCCCAGACACAACCCTGTGCTCCACCAGCCTCTTGGTTCCTTTGCAGGGAGAGCAGCTCCTGTGGGCCCTGGCTGACACCCCATGGCCAGCTTGGTGCACAAAAGGAGAGAGGTACCACCTGGCCAAGTCACTGTTCCAGACAGACCCTCAGTCCCCTCTCTGTGCCGTGGACATAAGGGGCACAAGCTGAACCCAGACCAGGGGGTGCTCTGTAGCTGGGAAAAGGGCTTCAGGCTTCTCAGATTCAAGGTCTAAACCAAGTGTCTGCCTTAGAATGCACATCTTTGTTTGAGCATGGAGCTCTGTGTTTTTGGAGTGTTAGGGCAAATGTTCTGACATTTGTCTGTGGGTTTCTCTGCGTCTTGACACCCTGCCAAGCTTGGAGTGATATCTTCCCAGCTCTCCTTCTTCACCACACACAGGGATTGGTGCTGCTGTGCACACATGCACATTACTAAGATTACACCAAGAACTGGTGATGAGGGTGTGTTATGGTCCTGTGAGCACGGAATGTCTTTGCTTCCACGTTATCTCCTGCAGTTTTCCCTGCACCTTGTCTGTAACCTCATCAAACAGGCTGAGCAGCTGATGAGTGGGCGCCCTGCCTGTCAAAGACATGGGTAGGAATATCAGCAGTCAGCAAGCCATCTCATTAGCTATTGGCATGAAATGGAATCAGGGAGGGTAGACACCCCTCCCAAAAATAAACCCATTGCTGTCCACAGAAGCTGCATGAACCCCTGCTTGACTGAATTAGTTTGGGAAAAGAAAGGAGTTGATGAGTGTCTTGGCTGAAAGTAATCGATGCAGGATGCTGCAGTGGATGAAAGGAAGAGATGTTCTAGTTCTAGCTCTTCATACAGGGGTTTCTGGACAATCTCCAGTCAAAAATAGTTCATCTGCACTGGCCATGCAGCTATGGAGTGGGTCAGGTAGCACAAATAACTAGCAAATCTTTCTGGGTTGTCTTCTGATTTTGCCAGAGATTGGAAGGTACTCATGAATGGAACAAAGCAGAAAACGGGGTGTTCTTCCTACAAAAATCTTACATATTCCTAACACGTCACTCCATTCTTCAAACGTAACAGTCACCAAGCACCCAAAGTTTGTAATTATTTGTGCAAAGAGAACCCAAGAGCCTTATTAGTTAAATCGCTCAGCAGAGAGCTGCAAAAAGACAAGGAGGGTCTGGGATTCAAGCTGCCAACACAAGGGTGAGCCTGGCCCACGGTCTGTATGGTCTTTTTGTATGGAAGAAAGATCAAATTTATCAGAGTTATTAGCTCTGCCTGATCCCTGCTCAGGGACATTTCCAGTTTAAGGCTAAGTTCAATTCTCAGAATTCCCAATTCTTACCTCACTGAAGGGAAATGTGGCTCTAATCAGCCTCTTCTCTTTCACCAGTCCTGGGACTGGCCATAAGTCGAATTGCTGGTGAAAACTGAAGGGCTCCTCTGGACCTGTGAGGTGAGCAGAGAAGCAACAGTGGGAAATGGAAAAATTCCCACTGACTTTATTGAGTTTTGGATCTGGACATGAAGAGCAACATTTTATTTCAGATAACTGTCCTCTGAACAGTTTATTTTCATTCTTTTTTAAGGCACACTAGCTGATGGCACCAAAATTCAGGGTGAAGTATTTGGGGTGTAATGAAGGAGTGGGGTTGCTGCCATGACCTTCCCATGTGCATTGGGATTAATCTTTCTCTCTTGCAAAAATCAACTGGAAACAAAGCTCCTTCACCTGCAGCACTGACCTGTGCAGAGCAGGCAAGTTCAGGGCTGGTTTTTGTGTTTGCTTTTTTAAGATCAGAGCCTTTTTTTCCTGCTTCTGCATGCAGAGCTTCCCCTCGGTGACCAGAGGTGTGGATGTGGAGCAGGACACCTGCCTGCACCTGCGTAGCAGGCGGCTTGTGAAGGTGACCTCTTCAGAAGTGTCCTTCTGTCCCTCCCAGAATGGAGGCTAACTGAGCCCAGAAGTTCAGGCTCAGCCCTCAGAAAACACAGAGTTACAAATGGGTCATTAAAAGCCGAGAAGTTTCTTTGCAGTGTGACAGGCCAAGGTGAAGGGAACTAAGGAGTTGCTCCAGAGTCAAAGACGTGTGATTCCTGCAGCCCTGCTACAGAGCCCCTTTCAGGGCAATTCTCTCTCAGAGTCCTTTAATCTGGTTGTTCTGCTTGGCTGAAGTCCTTTGACTGTCACATCTGGAGCAGTGAGGCTGCAGTACTGTGAGAGGATGCTGTGCCTCATTGTTCCTACATTTGAACCGGGATAAGAGCTCAAACATCTGCCAAATCTCTGCTGCTGTCAGATTATTCACAGAAACTACGTTGCTAGATGGATTTTTTTTTTCTGGTTTATGGACATTTCAGACCCTGATCTAGGTTCTACAAATTACTCTGGTGCTCTTGGATGTGTGGCCAAACACATTTTTGCCAGCAATAGCTTACAGACTGGTCTCTCAATTTCTGTGATGCCTGTAGGGGAATTTGGGCAGCCTCAAGTTGTTCTTCTGCTTCATCCAGACACTGAGAGCCTGCTCTGTTCAAAAGCTTTCCAGTAGCACTGGCAAACTGAGTGCTGTTGCACACATTACAGCATGGGTTTCCCTCCCTTTTCAAGGGATGACCAGGCTTGAGTGGGCACATGCTGGGTCACACAGCAGTATGCAGACATAGAGCAGTGAGTCCCGGGCTGTAGCATGTTCCTGTGCTTAAATGTTGACACATTATGAAGAGAATGTAAGATTCAAAGAAAAAAAATCAAATTAGGCTTGTAGTTCTTGTTCATTGCTGGAAAATCTGAAGTACGTTAAATGGCATTATTACTGTGCCCATATTGCAGTTGCTGTTTAAATCGGCTTTATGGGTTGAGCCTCTTAGCGTGGAGTTAGGGTAGATTAGCAGCATTTTCAGTCATTTCACGAACCAGGAAAGAGAAACACAGCAGTGTACCCATGATCATGCAAGACTGAGAAGTCAAAGCCAGGTCTTTTCTTTCCTTGATGCCGTGCCACACAGAGCTGTCACTGAGTTCAGTTTATTAGTTCAGAAGCAATCGAACAGTGTTCTGCTAATAACATGGATACAGGAGGGGGACAAACATGCTGTGTAGATTTTTTGATGGATGGATTCCCATTGTGATTATCTTTTATAGTCTCAACATACAGAATCTACCTTTGTGAGCACTAAGTGGGGAATTGAGTAGTAAAGAATTGAGACCTCAGACACGAGAAATGAAGAATATGGGCAGTTCTTCAGTGGAAGTGTGAAGTCTTTTATAGGAAAGATAAATATGATGGATAACTGATGCAGTTCAAAAGTACTGGCTTGTTTCTAAATTAACCAACACATAAGTAGACCTACTTTTATCTCTTTTAAATTTATTCTTTTATTATCTTGGTTTGGAACCAGAAGCCCAATCTGATGTTTTTCATCTAACATTCCTGTTGAATCCATATGGATCAATTATCATTATCAAGAGCATTATGTTGGTACTAAAGAGACTGTCTTGCACCTGAAAAATGAACTCTGGAAACCGCCTCCTCAGACTGCAGAATTTGTCTAGCCCAGCTGGACCAGCTCTGTGCAGCAGGGATGCTGAAGACACAGGGGCTGTTTGAATACCAGAAAGTTTTTTAGTTGGACCATCTCCATTTTCATAGATGTTGGGAGAATGACTGCACTTTGCATGAGGGCTTGAATCCATGGGAACTGATTAATACTACAAAGTAATGAACTATTGCTGGTGGAAACCCAGTGATCCATTGGCATTAGACCAGCCAGTGTGTGTTTGTAGCACTGCTGTCAGTGCCTTTCATGTCTGGGCTGCTGGGGAGACATTATGGGGCAGAAAACCATAGATTTCACCCATAGGAAACTTTAAAACCCAGCAGCATGTGATTGTTGCAAGAAAGAATCCTGTTTCTATTTATTACAGCCCAGGAACTTTCCATGACCTGAACATCTTTACTCTCCAGGATAATGTCAATACAGTCTTTGGAGAGTCCCCTCCAACGTTTCCTGCTACCTGAAACTCTATTTCTGCATGTTGATATAGAAGGTACCAGGAGATGGTCCTGCAGACTTGTGCTTTATTTGATTCTAAAGCTCCCCCTAAAGCTGCACAGATTCACGCCCAGCAAAGCACTGGTGACATATGGACAGAGACATACTCCTACACTGGCTCTTGTTCTCTTCTCTTGCTTTTTTTGAGGGTGCTGAGGAGGGAAGATAGAGCCCAAAAGTGAGTGACAATGGACTAAGTCAAAACGTAGCAGGCTTTGGGGCTGAGAACTGAAGAAGTTTGATAACAGCATGTGATAGACTAGGTCGGTGGAACATAACAGCATGGCAGAGACCACAGTGGTGGGACGTGAAATGGGAAGCAAAGCACAGATGCTTTGATGTGCTACCAAAGCTTTGTAATACCTTCCCTGCTGAGCTAGAGAAGAGTTTTAATTTGGTGAGTCTAGTCAATGGCATCGTAAGTGCAGTGAAGCAGGAAGGAATCCAGGATAACTTCTCTTTTCAGTTTTACCTGTGCAATTAGGAGTTATGTCACTAAAGTCAGCAAGACAAGTGAATCTGCATAAGCAGAATGAAATCCAGAGTGCATAACATGCATTTGAACAATTTGGCTCTGCTTTGGCTGAAGCAATGTGAAGGAAGAGCATAGTAAATTATTGCTAACACTAGAAAAGGAAATAGAAAAGGAAGTTAAAAGAAAGGAGAGCTCTAAGTATTTTCTTCACTAAGATGACATATAAATATATACAGACGTAATTAGGAGGTTATTTGAAATTTCAAAGCCAACTATCAGCTTCTCACTTTTTCACAATATTTTGTTACAGCCTACTATAAAAAAGGCAGTTAATTAAAACAGATTTATTCATCCAATCATGCAGGTGTTACAAAGAGACACTGTTTCCGGAACCTGGGTATTTCTGTTCAATTTAATGGAAAGTAATAATATCACGTAGGAGGTACCTCTAACAGGCAATATTCATCCCTGTACCTCTGCGTTGGTTTGCTTGGTGTCTTCTCCCTGAGCAGACTGCAAACACTCCCTGAGACATCCCGCATTTTAGGCACGAGGAGGAAGGATTTTCGGTTGCAACGTGGTAGTTGCTTACATTGCTTAGTTAGACTTCGCTGCGTGCCCTCAGGATTTGCAGTCCTGTGCTAATGTAATACATAAAGTAGAGTCACCTTGACTTCGCGTTTATCAGCTTATGCAAGTGCTGACCTTTTGCTGCACCGCAGCAGAAATGTCATTCCTGCTCAGCCTGGCGGTGCAAACAAACAGCTTCGATAACAGATATGGGAGCTGGCTGGCTCCGTGGCTTTGGGAGCATTGTTCTTGTGGAACGAACCAGAGTGGGCAATCTTCTTTTTTCCCCCGGGGAGGGATGGGGGGGGGTGTGTTTGTTTGTTTAAGTGGTCTCACCTTTTTCGGGCTTTAAGGAAGACATACTGGAGGAATGCTGAACGCTTCATGCCAGCTTTCCACTCACTGTCTGTGGCATTACCTGGTGCACTGTTTGATGTGTTTTGGGGCAACTCAAGCTGTGGGATCGTTGGCAGGGGTGAAGCATCCCTGGAGTTATCACTCCCCTCCTTTTCTTTCATAGAATGTTGAAGTCCAGAAAGAAATTTGGGAAATGTGTGGATAGCATTTGATTTTTTTCCACTTGAAAAGTGGAACAAGTCAGTCACTGTCTAACAGTCTGGACTGTCCTGCTAAGGGTTTACAAGGAGCCTTCGTAGCTTTCCTGAAATAATACAAGGGAATTCTTGGAGGAGTCCAGCTTCTTTCACCCAGACCCCTCACTCCTGTAGTTCCCCTTGAAGGTGATGTGTGGTTTCTTGGCTAAGTCAGCAGAGGTTTGGGATTGGCAGTATGATTTGCTGAGCAGGTTTTTTGGCTTCAGAGAGCATCTCACTTACGAGTGGGACACTGTTTGCTTTACCTAACCCAGCGCATTCAGAGTGAGTTTGGGTGCTGCTGTCATTAAAAGCACAACAGAAAACTCGAAACACAAATACTCAAAACACAAAAACTCAAAACACAAATAAAGGGAAACTGGGTAATAATCCTGATATTAAAAAAAAAATCCCCCCCAAACCTATTTCAAGACCTGAAATACACCCTTAGCAAAACATTTTGATTTTGCTAAGGAAAATAAGTCATCCATGACTGAGCGAGGGTGGACTGCTCTATGTCACCTCAGGGATGAAATAAAATCCAGAGTACCAGGAGGAAAAATGAAGACTTGAGGCAGAAAAGCATCTGCAACTTGGAATCCCTCCAAAGTGCATACTGTGAATAAATGGCACTTGGAGGCTCCAGGCCTGGCCTTGAGGAGAGGCACAAGGATTGCTGTGCCATCTTCCCATTGCAGGAGCGTGTGGATAGGAGACAAGCAGCAACGTGAGGGCAAATACAACAGCAGTGGCATGGCTAGTGCAGGGTGTGATGCACAGCAGTGTGCCAGGGTCAGCTGAAAGTGGCACCTTTAAATAATTAAGGTAGAGCTTGGAGAAAAAGCAGGGCAGAGGGAAGAGCTGTAGTCACCATGATAAATATATGGTGGAGCCCATATGGCTTATAGTCCTCATCTTCATCATTCCTCCTCCCCTTGGAAATCCAGAGGCAACCAGTGGGGGAAAAAAACCAAATTTGTGTTCAAGTACCTAATTTCTAACAAACACATGCAGAGGGGACACTTACTAAACTGACATGGAATGAGTTAATTGCAGAAGACTCTGAGTATGTCTTTTAGGAGACAGGAGAAATTTCTGAGTTCACAGGATTGAACTGAGACATTTCAGAGCTGCACTGATTCTCTCTCCAGCTGAAACAGCCTCTTGTAAGGAGAAAGGCTGCCAAAGGAGTGGATGAGTTCCTTGCCTTGGGATCTGTAGGATGAGCAGTGGCAGCAGCATCCCTTGCTCACTGTGGGGAGGAACTTGTGCTCCTGTAGATAGAGCCAAATAGGTGAATAGCTAACTTTGTCACTACCTAAAATCAGGGCATGGCTGATGCCCCTTCATGGGCATGGCTCATGCCTTGTAGTGTTCCATGAAGGCTGGAGAATATGTGGCTGTTTGGCTCAGCTTCTGCAGGCTGCTGGTCTGGCACAAGAGAACAGTCTTTGTGGTTGTCAGAGGCACTAAGGTCTACTCCACTGTGTCTTGATCAGAAATCAGTACAGATGGACCTGAACTGCAACTCTGAAAATAGCTGTGAGAGGAAGGAGCCAGACCTGGGCCAAAGGTATGTGAAGAAAGCACATAGCAAGCAATTGGCCTCGTGGATTTTAGGCAGAATTGAAAAGATGTCTTTACTGGCAGCTAAAAAACAGAATGCAAAGGCTCCTGGAAGTGGGGAGGGGGACAGGAAAGTGTGTGCTGAATCTGTCTTCCCCCTGGAGAGCTGTGCTGGCAAAGGTAATTGGTGGGCAGGGGGTGGAAATCTCAGAGAAGAAGGGGCTGAAGAAGTTGAGGGATGATAGTTAGGCTACAAGCACTGTAATGCTGAACAAAAAGGTATTTCTGGTCCATTATGGCACTTCAGAACACAAAGTGTAGGGAAACCTCAGTATGTTGAGAAGAATTTGGCCCTAGTTCATCACAGTAAAAAATTGTTTTGTTTTGTTTCATTTTGTTTTTTCATGCATACATGCATGAATTACATGGCTGTAATTAGCTACTAAATACAAAACCATTCCTTTAGTGTAGTTACAGAAAGGGACCTGAAAAATGAAGTCTTGAGAAAATAGTGAACCTGAACACTTTTGGTGAATCCAAATTAAGTCCTGTGTGTAATTAAGCATGCAGGGATGAAGGGTAATCCTAAAGAGTCAAAGAATTAATTTTAGATTTGTGACAGAAGCAAAATCAGACTCACTATTTTAATCAGTCACACAGTCTGTCTAGAAAAATCTCAGAATTTGAGGGAAGTCCCAATTTTCTCTTGTGATGATGCATGTAACATGTCCTCCATTGATACTGCTTTTGCTGTCATTTTTGCTGTTCTGCTATGAAAACTCGATTGTGGGTAATAAAATTTAATGGACAATGTTCAAGAATTGAACAGCTAATTAGATGAACAAGGAAATGTGTAAAACTAACCATAGAGCTTGAAATTATGGAACTGTACATGGTCATTATGCCCATTGAAAGAGTAAGTGAAAAAAATTCCCAGGTCTTCATTTAATATCTATGCCAGTTGTTTGTTATACAGCCTGGGTTTAGCCTTTCATATCTGTTTTTTAATCAGACACTTTATCTGCTTTTATATATCTGGAAAGAAGAGTGCTGACAGTATTTTGAAAAAGAGAGTCGTGCAGTGAAATTTATTGAAGCTGGGAAGAAGGCAAAAGATGAATTCTAGAAACAGAATATGTTCCTGTTACAGTAACCAAGCCGGGGCCTCTTGGTGTCCTTACTTGCAGCCACCAGTGATACCCCTAAAACCAAAGGAGAGGAGCAAACAGAAGTGTAGATCTGAAAAACTGCTTCTCCCAAGCTGCACCAGAAGGGCAGTGGAAAAATCCCCAGTTTGCCATGTCCCTGGGACGTGGCTGTCAGATGGTCAAATGCTGCTGCTAAAACTCCCACTTCGAGTCCTGATTGCTTTTCAACCCCAGAGAATTTCTCAGGCACCTCGAGGATTTAACCTACACTTTATTTTGCCATGTGTGACGGAGTATACTTTATAACAGACCCCATTCTGCTGGGAACCACCAGACCCTTCCCATAACTGGCACAAGAAGCCAAAGTCAGGGCAGAGCTGGGGACTAATCTCATTTCCCACACATTAATTGTGCTTGTTATGCCACAGAGCTAATGATGTGTGAGAAACTCGGCTGACGTGGTTATGCTGCTTCTCTGGTCATCCCTGACAGCTTTGTAGGTGTGCAGAAAGCTGAGCCTCAGGTAGCTGTGCAGTGGGGATCTTAGCCTGACACTCCTTCCTCCAGTCAGTGTCAAAAGTCCCCTTTCTCTGGAAACAGCTCCCAGAAGAGAGGATTACATTTTGAACACTGAGTTCACAGCAGGAGGGAGTTCAAGAGTCCAGGACTGGGGTCAGCCTGAGCAAGCAAAAGCTGGGAGTGCCACTCCAGTCTTTGCTCTATAAAGGAACCTATGCCAGGTGAAACAGTGTCCAAATGATGTCTGGCATGTGCAGTGGTCCCTCCAGAAGTTTGCATTGCTACTCAAACTTTGTGTGTTTCCTGTGTTTCAGTGAACACCTTAAACATAGCTCACTTGTACAAAATTTATTCAGTAGGTAGGGCAAAATAGGTGAGGGTGTCTTCAAACATCACCCAAACATGGAGGTACAAAGGATAAATAATGCAAGCTGCTAACTTTCCATCTCCTTCGTGTGTAAGGACTGGAACTGCCACCGGCAGCGATTGTGCCCCAGAATTAACACCTCACTGAGAGGGATGGGAC